CTGTCGATTTTTTTGTGTCCAATTGATCAATGGGTGATATCTGATTAAATTACTGAATAAAAAGGTATTTATTATAAACATAAAATAAGCCTTGTCTTAAATATGATTGTTTTTAATTCAGTTACAAATACCTTTTTTTAATTGTTTATTTTTGTCTTTAGATAAGGCCAGTTAAAAAATACTTATGCATTTTAGGTTTTATTACCTAGTATTTCTAACTTTTTTATTTTGTTTTAATATACAAAGTGACAGAATATATTAAATACAAAATCATAATTATTTTACAGCTTTGCGTAATGTATCTAATGTTTGGCATATAATACAATAAAATTAGAATATTTAGGTTTATGTATTTCCATTTTCTCAGTTTTCTTTATTAAGCTCAAACGTTGAATATGATAGTTAAATAGAAATGTATTTCATACACATATAAGCTATTCCTACTCTGAAAATCGAATGCATAAACCAACATCGGGACAAGCATACGAATTTGTTGAAAAAAAATCAATTGAATTAAAATAAGATGTAAAATAAAAATAAGACTAAATTAAAACAATTAAAGATACAATAACAAACATGATCATGATTACGGATAATTAAATATTATAATCAATATAAACGAAAAATTTAAATCCTTATTTAAACGAAACACAATGAAATCAAGATAGTGACAAGTATTAGCCTTATTAAAACAAATAATTAAATGATAACCCACAATTAAACCAAAGCAGAATGAATTCAATCTAATCTCAAACGATATTAACTCCAAATAGAAACATAAATGAAAACTTGCTTTAAAAACCATAAAGAACAAGTTAAATAGATTTCTAGTCAACTTGATAAATCTGGTGAAACGTTGTACTTTCATTAAATTTTACTCTGTTTATCCGATTTATCAAGTTTACTTTTAATTACGACAGAGTACTTCCTTTCATCGTAATAAATGGATTTCTGAAGCTTTCATACGTAGGAACTATGTTTCTTCAGCTGACTTCTAAATACAAAGACATTTATTCGTTCGTAAAAAGAAAGAAACCATTCCTCTCTGGTTCATAGGCCCTGAGAAGATGAAATGGATTTATCTCAACACCACGGTGATCAGTTTATCAGAAAACTAATTTTGAATTATATAGACAAAGATTTTTGTGTAACAGTTTTATTGTTGTTGTTTTTTTATTTCCCACCTTATAAAAATTTCTCTATAGAGTTTAACCGATTTCAAGGACGAATTTGGTTTTAATTAATTTTGGTCCTCCTGGCACAGAATTACACCAACTGCCATGTTTAGAAGTTTGTTGTTTGTATTATAAGGAAGAGCACGCTCGTCTCTCGTACTTGTTAAAACTGATTAATACTTATAAAAAGAGATTATTCTCTGGTTGTTAAGTATAAATGAGAAAAGTTAAATATATATTTTGAGCAATACTTTTTATTGATTTTATTTCCAATTTAATTGATTACTTTTGGAGGTAAAAATTAGAACAATGATGATTAATATAAAGATTTTCTTCGAAAACAAAAATTATTCATTTTTTTTTTTCTTCTACCGATTTTCGTTTGTAAAATTAAATACTGAAAATTCTAAAACAAATAGTCAAAAACAAAACCCTAGTAGTATAATGTTGTTGTTGTTTTCTACTAACTCTAAAGCCTGAGTAAATAATCAAAACAGGCCGCTGTACTAAAACTACTCTTACCCAAATTTACTAAATGACGCCCACCCCCTCTCCCCCGTAGCATAGCAGTAAAAACATGGTTTTGATACCTGCGGCGGATACATCACAGATAGTCCATTTTGTAGCTTTGTGCTTAAGTACAAACAAATAAACAATATTGAATGACAGCAACAATATTTTTTTCACAACGTCGTCTGACTGTTTACCTATAGAAATAAATCAAAATAACAAAATCAAAACCATTCACAGTTAAAAAATTTATATAGGAATTTTTTCTTAAGCATTTTATAATAACTGTAGTTCTGGAATTACTTGATTTTCTATTTTTATTTTTTAAATGTCCAATTATGTAAACTGTTTTTCTAACCACAGGGTCAGACGGACAGGCACCAAGTTTGTTACGAGCACAGCAGATCACAGGGAAAAAATTAACTTTTTATCAATGTGATTTGTTGAACAAGGATGATCTCTCAATGATATTCAAAAAGGTAGCCATTATATATATTCTTAACTGTCTTAGAAAATATGAACTGTTAGGACAAAAATGTTTCAATGTTCATTGTTTTTATTGCAAAACGTTTTAAAGTAATATAATCAGTTATTTAAATGGACATCACAGATCAAGCAAAGGATATAATAAACATGTGTTTCTAACTCGAAAAGTGAATGAATTATTTGTTTATTGGGTGTAATATTTTTAGCACCGGGCGTGGCCTAGTGGTTGGCCTGTTTGGACTGTGAATCTGAGGGTTCGTGTTTCACGTTCTGTTGTCCCATAAACGCAATCCGCACATTGGAAAAATGGATGTGCTATATGTGTGAAGGTCAAATCATGTACTATTCGGTCAGATGAGAGTAGTTCAAGAGTTGGCTATGAATGCTGTTGACTAGCTGCCTTCTCTCTAGTCTGCGAGTTTCAAATTAGGGAAAACTGTGAGCACTTTGTTTATGTAACTTTGCGCGAAAATTCTAAAATAAATGAAGTGATATTTTTGTACAAAGCATTAAACATCTGTAGAGAAGCCTTTTATAGAAGTGATGTAATACATGAAAATCGTTTCTTTTGTAACAAATAATTCACATATATTATCAAAATACATACGCTATAAGTATTAAAAGTTTGAAATTCTTAGTAAGAAACACTGCAATGAAGCTTTGTACATTAGTTGCTCTTGTATATATATACTTGCGATATTTTTTTCCTGAATTATCTAGGTTTTTCTTACCTCAGATAACTTATTTATGCTTTATAATTCCCCCTGGAGAAAAGTTTTTTCACTAGAAAAATGCACATTACATGAACTTAAATATATGTACAAACTTACGATACATTTTTAATTTCGAAATTCTAAATTTTCTATGTCAAAATATTTACAAATTTTCCAAATAAAGTATGTTGTAATATTTTCTCCTCATATCTGAATCATCATCTTCTTTTCTTATTTTTTTTTCTTTTCGACAAATGAGGTTTTCTTTCTGTATTTTGAACACCAGGTTTATCCAGTCTTGTGTTAAAGTTAACAACCTTCTTGCTCCGCTTATAGGGTTAAAAATTTTATTCATCTCTAAAACCTTTCCTAAAGTGTTATGGCTAAACGTTTATTTTTTATTTAACTTGGAAGTAATGGTCAGTTTTATCAACCTCTTGCTGGCTCTAGCAAATTACATAACAACTCATTAGGCACTACGATACGACTTCTATCTATCTAACTATCAAACTACATTATCGACGCGTATTTATGTCTCAACAGAGGCGTAGAACGTTCTACAAAATTCGATTATGATGCAATAATACTCAATTAACACAATAAGAAAAACTTAGAGGTTCTAGCAACATGACGCAATAATATAACAATTGTCAATTCGTAACTAGTGAATTACACAACGTATGGTTCGTAAACAGTTACGTTAACAAACGTGCGATAAACTATCGCCTCTAAAAATAATTAAATTTAACGCTTGCGTTATATAAACTGTATTAAGTCAGGACTCAAGCATTTAGCTTAAATGGAAACGGTTATGTATACTTAACACTGTCGAAAGGCGCTTGTTCTTTTTTTTTCGTCATGTAATAATAATAATAATAACTCAGAACTGCTCACACATTATATAACCAACAATATGAAAGAAAAACTGTGACGTTTGCTGTGGTTTTATAGCTTTTCTAGTGAATTAGTGACAAAACATAGCTGTGAACAGCTGGCTTTTGTATGTTTTATAAGCAATAACATGTTTCATGTAACTTATAATAGACATTAATCTTCTAAACTAATCCGACTGCGTGATAGTTTAGCAATATTTGGTTGTTTATTTGTAATTAAGTATAAAGCTACACGGTGGGCTATCTTTGCTCTGCCCACCACGGATATCGAAACCCGGTTTCTAGCGTTGAAAGTAAGCAGACATGCCGCTGTGCCACTGGGGGCTTTTAGTCATAAAGATCGTATAGTGACGATTTTTAAAGTGAAATTATCACAGAGTGTATTGTAATAACAAAGCAGAGAAGAAAATTTGGCTTGTAAAGTTATGTTCAATGGTAACTAAATCACCCTGTGTGGACATTGACGAAAAAGAGACAATTATTTAAAGTTCTGGATACAACTCTGATAACCAACAGTGTAAAGAAAATTTGTAAATACGTTTGACTTGTTTTAATATATTATTTTGAAATAAGTGGACTGTGTTCTGTTTGTTTATTGTTGAAATTTATCGCCAACAAGTCACAGACACCAACTGTGAAGAATCCGACCCATTCATAAAACCTGACAGACAGATATACTTGTTAGCTTAGTATATGGATTTAGTACTAATTCAAATTCTTAATCTGTTCTAACCTCCCCAGATATTATTGGTTGGAAATATCGTTAATAACGAAGTTGCCTAACTGGTGGATCAATGATCTCTAATCATTATAGATTTCACTTTGTGTTTCTGATGATTTATGATATTATGTACTTCTAATTAGTTTCTTATATAGAATTAACTTAAATCATTAATTTATAAAACATTTTTAGTTTTGATTTAAGGAGTTATCTTATTTTTTATCAGAAGTTATTGATAATTTGTATTACAACGATTGAAGAATACAAGAGTTGGCGGTGGGTGGTGTTGAGTAGCTGCCTTTTTTTAGTCTATCACTTCAAAATGAAGATGTCCCTCTAGTAGCTTTGAGCAAAAATTCAACGAACTTACTTGCACGTGCTTGTGTATAAATGATTCCAGTTGATAATTAGGCATTGCCGAACATTTTTATTTAATTTGTGTATGCATGTGTTTGTTTTGTTGTGTTTTGTGAGAGACATTAATGATTAATGGTTACTTATTTTAATGAAACCATGTCATTTATCAACATAAAAATGGGTGAACTGACCCAAATTTATAAATAGCTTCAATTTCATTGTGTGTGTGTGTCAGTCCATTTGATTTTATGTAAAGGCGATCAAATATTGGTTGATTTTGTTATAACATAATAAACGTTCTTATATCCCCGATATATATCAATAACTACAAATCAAAACCAAATTTTTGTCCCCCTGGTGGCTCAGCAGTAAGTCTGGGGGCTTATAACGCTAAAAATCGGCTTTCAATACCCGCGGTGGGCAGAGCACAGATTGCTCCTTGTATAGATATGCGCTTAACAACAAACAAACAAAATTCTTGTTTGAGTTTAGGATGCGTATATTCGTGTTATTGGTTTTATTTTTACAAATTATTAGTAAAAAAGAAGAAAGAATGCGAGTAGTAGTTGAAACCGAATTAAATGAAACGGAAAATAAATAATAGTAATTTTCTAAACTTCTTAACAGAGAACTAACTTCAACATAAAATGTTCGTTGAACGTCTATATAATGTTCAAAGATGGCATTTCGTTTTTGGCTAAGTTTCGTTTTACCTTTATTTTCAGATACTTTGCCTCATACGATTTTGCAACTTTCCAAATTACTCATCAGTTAAACGATATGGATGAGGACTGATGATCACGCTAAAAGTCCTTACGAGTCATCAGTATTTTTGATCTTACGTGACCCTATGTGTTACACAGTTTCTTACATTAAAATATTCTGTTAAAAAATAAATAAAAAACACTAAGTGTGCAATTTCATATTTCATTAGTAAGCAAATACTTCACTGATAACAGTACGTTCAAAAAGAACTGGTGAATCGATGTTGGATATTTTTCTCAGTATATTTTCAAGAATTGTAATTAGCATAAGTAGAACAATAGATTTAGTTTGAATAATGGTGCCAAATCGTTTAAAGAATTTCAGGACTTCATTTATTAGTGTTATTACCTCAACATTATCTTAGCTTTTAATGAACTTTCACACTTACCTGTATTTTCTAACCTCAAAATGAAGATAAAATTATTCGGGTATCATAATTTCAAGAATTAATAATTTTGATATGTCAAAACTGATCATATGCACAGTTCTTGAGGTTCGTGTACTTTCCAAATTTTGTTAAATTCATTGATAAGGTGACCGAGCTATCAAAAGACACGTGCATAAGAAGTGACAGTCATCTTCTACTTCCTTGCTTTTGGTAGTACGAAAGTCACTTTTCACTGTCTATTAACTATATGTTTGTTTAATTGTCTGTAGTTAAGCGCAAAGCTACACAATGTGCTGTCTGTGCTCTGCCCATTACTGGATTAACCACAAGAACACAGGTCTCTGTCAACAGATATTATAAACACCATCATGCTGCCTTGTTATTAGTTTCGGTTGTTTTTTGTGTTTTATAGTTTATAGTAACATAGATTTTGTTTGCTGCTCTTGTCATTTTTATCTGTTGTGTTAATTAAATAAGAATGTAACATTCTATTTCAATAAAACGTTTGAAATGTAAACTTGGATTATTCAATATGCTTATTTTCTATACTTTCAAATCAAATCAGTGTTGTTGTTTTTTATATTACCAATGGGGTTTTATCATTTTTAACAATAGCGTGTATTATCAAACTATTTTCTTCCTATATAGCACAAAGTTGATTTTGTCATTCATTTTGCTGCCATGAAAGCTGTTGGTGAATCAATGCAGAAACCTCTGTTTTACTACAAAAACAACATCGTCAGTAGCATCAACTTGATGGAGGTGAGTTTGCCTGCTTACTGGCGGAGTCATTACGTAGCAATAGGTGTTGAGTCTTGAAGTATCCACTACTTATAGTAAACTGGGTTTTTAAAGATCAGGTTATTATCACTGTACACCATCCCTCTCATTTTATCTATGCTATTGCCTCAACACAAAGTCTATTGTGTGTCATCTGATGTTAACGCTAAGGATACATTTTTTTTTCTTAAAAGTCACGTTACATGTATCCCATAATTATCACACTTAATAGCCACCCATCGTCAACTAATACCAACTAATAGTGGGATTGAGCGTCACATTATAATGCCTCCACGGCTGAAAGGGCGAGCATTTTTTGGTGGGACGGGGATTCGAACCCGCAACCCTCAAATTGCGAGTCAAGCGCCCTAACCATCTGGCCGTGCCATAAAGAAGGCGTTATCTTGACTGTACCATGATAATAATAAGCTCTTCTAATGTAACTGGTTATTAGAATTATCAGTCCTCAATACTGAAATTTGTCGTTTATAGCAGCGTATAAAAGACTATTTATATCCTAAGTCTGGTAATTTTCTTCAAATATCCACAAACAATGATATCATGAATGAGATGAGCTACCGATGAAAAGGACTTTGCCATAATATGGTAATTTCAACAATGAACAAGATGCAAGAATGAAAGAGACTCTAACGATTACGAAACCAAAACCAATGTTGAACTGTAATTCATCAGCGACAAAAACTTTAAAAACTCCCGACGCACATTGTGATGACTAGCTACCTTCCCTCTAGTCTTACACTGTTAATTAGGGACGGCTAGCGCAGATAGCCCTAGTGTAGCTTCGCGCGAAATTCAAAAAAAAACAAACAAACCGTTACCGCCAAAACAAAATCGCACTATTCACTTTCAGGCTGTGGGTGCGTTATAAGAGTGACAGTCAAATTATACTGAGTATTAATAAACAACGCTCCGGCGTCTTCGTTGTTTATTGATATGTTTGATCTCGATATTGGCGAGATTATGTGGGATAAACCACACGTAGTTTAGAGCAGCGTATAACAGAACATTTGAACCCTAATGTGTAATCTTCAAACACCAATAAATATCTAGACCACGAATGTGATAGAACTGGTAATGAAAATATATTTGTCATAATATGCAATTCCAACAACGAACAAGACATCAGAATAAAAGAAACTCTGAATACCGAGAAACTAAAACCGATATTAAACTTTAATGCATCGTAGATATGAAAAATTGTCTTGAGTTTTATTACTAAAACAAAGATTAAACTCAGACACAAAAAATAATATTTAGTATTAGTTACATTTTTAGTTTCCATTAAATATTTTCAGCAGACAAGAAAATATGCAAATGTTTTCTCTGTAGTTAATTAGAGCCTTTACCTTGTCTCACATTCGATTCACCAAATATTTTTAGTTGATAAGACTCCTGTAATAATTCCTTGTACATCTAATTTTATGTGATTGTACTAAAAGTCGTATGGGAATATTTTAATTAGATTTTGATTAACCTCTTCATTGTCCTTACAACGAATGAGATCATATATTTCAATGCATGCCTAATTTGGTAGTAAAATTTATAATTTTATAAATATTGTTCTTTTATGATCATTGTTTTGTTTTTATTGAACCCAAACAAAGAAGAGCATTAGGGTAAACTAGAGAAAAAAAAATAATTTTATTCACCAACGGGACATAATCAAATTACATTGATTTATAGAATACATTTATACTGCCTGCACAAACAAGGGTTTCTTCTGTGACCTCTACCCACCAACTTCTAAAGCACCTCCCCCCCCCAAAAAAAAAATATATATATACATTATATATATAGGATATTTGTTTGGGGTCCTGAAGAGCGATTATGATTATCAAATGCTAGAATAAATGTTGTCATAATTTTGGGGTTTTTTTTTTGCTATAGCATTTCTGTATCAAAATAATAATACTAAATCCCCTGATTGCAGGTGATGAGTGAGAATGGAGTTTACAATCTAGTTTTCAGCAGTTCTTGTGTTGTCTACGGAAATCCTCAGTATCTACCCATCGATGAGGCTCATCCCACCGGAAACGTATCCAGTGTGTATGGAAGGACGAAGTACGCCTTAGAACAAATGTTTGAAGACATTTGTAGAGCAGAGAAAGTAAGTGAGCCTTAGGAAACGAAACGTTTAAACTAGAACAAATATTGGGAAAATATTTGTTAATCAGAACAATTACGAAGAAGTGCAATTAAATATACGAATTCAGCAGGAAAAATTGAGTATGAAGTAGAACAAAAAGTTATATCATTATGCTGTCGTTATAAAGCTAGGGGTAAACAGATTTCCAAACCAAAAAAAAAAAACCGGGACAGTTCAGCTCTTGCCCCTAATTTCAAAATGATTATTACAAATTTGAAATAATCAAAATAGAATTTATTATACTTTAAATTTATTGAACTGTTCCACAATATTTCCAAATATGTTAACATTGGCATTGTTTTTGAAATAACTTCAACTACTTTTCTTCTTCTTCTTGTTTTTGTTTTTTGTTTGGTGATATATACGAGACAAATGAGCAGAAATAGTCAAATTATACACCCAAGAAATGTTTAATTATTCACTTTATCAAATTCATCTTAAAATAGGCTACTTCTTACCTGAATTTATTTAAAAATTCACAATATTTTCAAACATACTATTTTTAGGTTTTTATCATCGCTCTGAAACTCTTTAGACATATATTTGTAAAGACTGAATGGAACGTAGATGTTCTGTTATTTCATTAAATAGTCATAAAATTCAGTGTATGACGGTGTAAAGCGTGTTTTGACGATTAAACCTACACAGAATTGTGTTACTCAAGACGCACAGACCGAACTTTCGAGAGAGAGTCTGACAGCAGGAGAGTACGTGTTACAACAATAAGCAAGTCAAGTAGGCCTATTGCATTCGTGGTTTGATGTGACTAACAGTTTGGTTTCCTTATCACAAAACTGGGACGTTTTGTGCGTCCCGAGAACTTTTCTCTGGACGCTGGAACAAACTACCAAAAAAACGGGTCGTCTGGTCACCCTACTCAAAATAAGTATTAAAAAAGTCATTTAATCGCTGATAAAGAATATGTTCCAATGCAAATGTTGGGAGTCAATTAGACAACAATAAATTATGTGATCCAAAAGAAATGTTGAAAATTATTTAGACAACAATAAATTATATGATCAAAACAAATGTTGAGAATTATTTAGACAACAATAAAGTATGTGATCAAAACAAATGTTGAGAATTACTTAGACAACAATAAAGTGTGTGATCCCAAATAAATGTTGGAAGTTATCTAGACAACAATAAAGTATGTGATCCCAAATAAATGTTGGAAGTTATCTAGACAACAATAAAGTATGTGATCCTAAACAAATGCTGGAAGTTATCCAGACAACAATAAAGTATGTGATCATAAACAAATTTTAGAAGTTATCTAGACAACAATAAAGTATGTGATCATAAACAAATGCTGGAAGTTATCCAGACAACAATAAAGTATGTGATCATAAACAAATTTTGGAAGTTATCCAGACAACAATAAATTAAGTGGTCCAGAAGCAAAGCTGAGAATTGTGAGAGCAAAAGATAAAGTATGTGATCCAGAACAAACCTGTATACTGTCATTAAGAGTACAAGGAAAACGTTTAAAAACCGCTTTTTGTTTCATTATCATTTATTTGAGTGATGAACATTAAGATCACACGAGAAATTAATGTTCATTCACAGGACAGACAATGAGGGCAAGTTTTACAAATTACCTCTTGTTCATTTGGGGATCAGTATTTCTTCTAAACACACGTGGCAAGTTTTATAAACTAGCTATTGTTCATTTGGTGATCAGTATTTCTTTTAAACACACATGGCAAGTTTTATAAACTAGCTCTTGTTCATTTGGTGATCAGTATTTCTTTTAAACACACATGGCAAGTTTTATAAACTAGCTATTGTTCATTTGGTGATCAGTATTTCTTTTAAACACACA